CTAGAACCTGAGTCAGCCTAATTTATATATCATGAAAGTATTCATTTACTGATTTGAACAAAAGTGGAACTTTATGGGGTTCTAGTGGAATTGGATTCAGAAACAGAATTAATTAAGGATTGTATGATTAAATGGGCGCAGAATTTTGGTGAACCAGTTCTACTGGATACCTGGGAAACTATCTGGGTGAGAAATGTTAAATTTACACAAGCACAGAATTTAAGGGAGAATTTTTATAAAATGTTTTATAGATGGCACCTTGATCCACAAAAAATGTCTTTTATGTACCCTGACCTACAGCCTAAATGTTGGAGATGTGGTTGTTTGGATGCCACCTATTATCATATCTGGTGGTCGTGCAGAAATATAAAAGCCTTTTGGATTAAGATATGGTGGAATATTCAGAGAATTTTTAGAAGGAGGGTAAAATTTACTCCACAATTATTTTTATTAGGTATAGTTACTGATTGTGATACAAAGGAGGTTATATTGATGTTGAACTTGATCACAGCCGCAAGGCTGTTAGTAGGACAATATTGGAAGAAGGAATCTTTGCCTACTTTGCAGGAATGGTTTCTTAAAGTGTCTTATTTGGCGGAAATGGCAAAGATTTCGGCTTTCTTAAAAGAACAATCGCAAGAGAAATTTCTTGCTGTTTGGGATAAATGGATAAAGTTTATACAATTTAAATTGGATATAAAAAAATATCATCTAGCTTTTTTATAACTTTTATTTTTATATATACACATATATTTTAGTGTTATATTTTTTTTCATATAATTTTTTTAACTTTTTTTAATTAAACCTATATTCTGCTCTGGGAAGCTCCGGGGGGGGGGAGGGAGTGGGGGTTTTGGGGAGGGTTGGGGAAGGGTTGTTTTGTTTTGTTTTGCTTTGTTTTGTTTTGCTTTGTTTTTGTATTGTATTGTATTGTTTTTTTTTGTCTTTTTGTAAAAATTTATAAAAATTTTTAATAAAAAAAAAAGTGGAACTTTATTTTTTAAAAAACCTTAACTGAGAAAGGAAAAGACTGAAATGAAAATAATTAAGAATGTAGTATCAGTGTAGAATGCAAAAGCATGACTGGTTTATTACTTATTTGTGGAATACGCCAAATGACACCATTCAGACACAATGCTAAACTAGTATACTATGGGTCAATTTTACCCATTATACTAAGCCAGTGGCAAACAAATGTGGTGCATGTGGCAGGTTTTGAAAATATAAAATTATGATTTACTCAACAAATCATAGCTAAAACAAATCATGGTTTCACATAAATAAATTATATGTAAAGACTGCCAATGGAGCAATCAAGTAGAACTGTGAACACCAGGTTATAAATTTGCATATGTGATTAATCAAATGATAGCATTAACTGTTAATGCTTTTCTTTAGCATGGTTTTTAGCTAGTCTCCTGAACATACTTTCATAAGCAGGCTTGAGAAAGAATAGCTAGTATAAAAATACATGGGACCCACTTAGCTTTTTTTCTAAAACTTGCCAGATAATAACTGTTGCGTCCTTCGCGAAATGGCAAGACACGAGAAGCAGTTGTAGTTCTCAGGAAACTCTTTATTCTTAGTTCAGCTTTACAGTTAGAAGACACCGGCAACGCCCAAAACTCCCGGCCTCTTATATAGGCCATCCCCGGGTCAATCTGCAACTTTTGGCACGCCAGCACTTGCGCATGCGCACAAGTACTGGCGACAGCCTGTCTGGTCCCGGGCAACTTGCACCTGCCTGGGACCGTTTGCAATGCCCCGAGCCTGCTTGCACAGGCTCAGGACATAACAATAACAGTCTAATTTCTTCATAGGAATCTAATTCCTAATTAGAATTCCTCTAATTCCTTGAGCCTATGCGATTTGAAATCCACTATATCTGTAGAATACTAGGTTAAGGAAAAAGAACAACAGCTACAAAAATTATTGGTGGTAAAATTGCCTTTTAGAACAGCTTCTGTTAAACCACATGTCTACTTAGAATTCTTTAAATGTATACTAAATCTCAAAGATGCTATATTAAAATCAAAAGCAATTAATAGCAAAGCAACACTTTCTTTATAAAAATGGAGCATATGAAGGTAAATCATTGAAATTGTAAAATTAAAACATGAATATTTCATAAGAATACATTTTCTTTGGTTGTTTAATTAAGGCCCTTTAGCAATTAAAAGTTACAGCAGTGTTTTTCAAAGCTGGCAAGTTTAAAATGTGTGGACTTCAATTCCCAGAATTTCCTACATAGGTTATGATGGGTTAGCATTTAGGAAATCCCTCAAAACATGATTCCTTCCAACAGGTTTGAGGATCCCAGGGAAACAGGGAACCCATGAGACAGTTACCCTATATGCAGGATGCTAGTCCATTCTCCAGCAGCCTTAGTTATATTTATGATTAAATCATTTAAATTGTTGCTTTGTTGTTTTATTGCATGCTTTGTCCAGAGTCACATTTGTAAAATGGGCACTTTTATAAATTTGATCAATTAAATAAATAAACAGACAAACAAACAAACAAAGCTGCTTTCCATTTTTTTGCTATAAATTTCATTATTAAACATGCAATGAAACTAAAAACCAATGGGGGAAAAAACTAGAGGCAAGTTGTGTGTACTTTTTTTAGAGCAAGTTACCAGTTCAGACTACAAACATCTGATGGCCAGTAAATGGGACCTAGGGGTATACAAAGTTCTAATCCTTTAATGCCCTTCACTAACTACCTAGTTTTTTGCAGTTAGATAAGGTAACTCTAAACTGGATATTAGAATATATATATTCTTCAGGATATCTGACACACTTCCATTAAGTTGCAGACAAAGGGATTGCAAATTGCTGCAACTCATTGTAATATCTCTCACGGTTTTAAATGACACTGATTACAGATTGCCTCTTAACTGCTTTTCATCTGTATCGAATAATTTATATTGATTTGGTAAAGCAACAGGCCAAAGCCTAGCAGATATCACTTTCATTAAAGCTAGCCATTGTGCAGAATATTTTATTGCATCTTAAATCTTTAAATTATATCAATCCCACTGGTGACTAACTGCATAGTCCAAATACAGATTCACTCCTAGTTTATATTATAGCATGCCTGAGAGAGCAACTAAAGAAAGCTAAGAATGAGATGCCATGCTTAGCTTTTCCTTGGAGGACAAGCCAGAATTTTTGGATTAATCATCTTCATCATCATTGTCATCATCAAACAATTAGAAGAGATATTTCAATCCTTGATTAGCTTATTACACTGACAGGACAGAGAAATATAGCTGATAAGGATCAGCTGAGCTAAATGAATTAGCATATACCCCATTCATAATTAGGTTCCTTCACATCTTGGATTACCATCAAATGCAAAAACAATGTTTATAATTTAGTCCATCTTGTTGGAATGTTTAAAGAAAAAGAAACATTGAAAATATCCATTTTAAAAATTGATTCATCCAGTGCCTTGTTAATGTTTTTTTCCATGGAATGTCACATTTTTTTTATTTAAGGAGCTTACACAGATCACCACTGTTTAATATTAAGAAAAAAGCTTATTATTATTATTATTATTATTATTATTATTATTATTAATAATAATAAAATTTATATGCCGTCCAATCCCTAGGGACTCAGGGCGGCATACAAAATTAAAACAAGTATAACAATTAAAAATGAATACGTTCACACAACATGTCCCAATCGAATCCCGCCCCCCCCCCGGGGACATCAACCCCAGGCCTGCCGAAACAGGAGAGTTTTAATAGCTTTCTTGAAGGCCGGCAAGGTGGGAGTAGTTCGAATCTCGGGGGGAAGTTGATTCCACCACGTCGGAGCCACCACAGAAAAGGCCCTTCCCCGAGGGCCCGCCAGCCGACATTGTCTGGCCGACGGGACCTGAAGGAGGCCCAATCTGTGGGACCTCACTGGTCTCTGGCAACTATGCGGCAGTATGCGGTCCTGTAAGTAACCTGGTCCTAAGCCATGAAAGGCTTTAAAGGTGACAACCAACACCTTGAATTGCGTCCGGAAATCCACAGGAAGCCAGTGCAGCTCACGGAGGATAGGTGACACGTGGGTGTACCTTGGTGCACCCACAATCGCTCTTGCGGCTGCATTCTGAACCAGCTGCAGCCTCTGAACGCTCTTCAAGGGTAGCCCCATGTAGAGCGCATTACAGTAGTCCAGTCTTGAGGTGACAAGGGCATGAGTAACCGTGAGTAGAGCCTCCCGGTTCAAATAAGGCCGCAACTGGTGCACCAGGCGAACCTGGGCAAAGGTCCTCCTGGCCACAGCCGATAGATCTTGTTCCAAATTTAGCTGTGAGTCCAGGAGAACACCCAAGTTGTGTGCCTGCATTGAGGGAGGTAAATTTCCCCCCCCCCAGGACTAATGATGGACCATCAGAATGACCCTTGGGGGGCAAGACCCAGAGCCACTCGGTCTTGTCAGGGTTGAGTCTAAGCCTGTTCACCCCCATCCAGACCCTCTCATCTTCCAGGCACCGGCACATCACGTCGACTGCTTCACTGAAAGGACACAGGGTGGAGATATATAATTGGGTATCATCCGCATACTGATGATACCTCACCCCGTGTCGCCAAATGATCTCACCCAGCAGTTTCATGTAGATGTTAAAAAGAAGGGGGGACAGGACCGAGCCCTGAGGCACCCCATAATCGAGGCGCCTAGGGGTCGATCTCTGTCCGCCTGCCAACACTGACTGCGACCTGTCAGAGAGGTAGGAGGAGAACCACCGCAATACAGTGCTGCCCACCCCCACCTCTCCAAGACGATGCAGAAGGATACCATGGTCGATGGTATCGAAAGCCGCTGAGAGGTCAAGAAGCACCAAGATAGAGGAATGACCCCTATCCCAGGTTTATCTTATGGAAAATTCATGATCACTCCTCAGCACTTATAAGGAGAGGAAAGAGAACCCAGAAGGTTCAATGCATAAGTATTTGACTATATTATGCAACATAAATTGTAGCACATAATTTCTTTTACCTTGCCAGTTGACTTTGTACCTTTCCAAATGCAAAAGTAACAGATAGTCCAGGCAGCCAGAAGGCATAGTGCCAGTTCCCAGCGCAGATCCCCAATGTGTTCAATGCCATCCGATATGGCCAACACTCTTCGTCTAAAAATGATATAAACAAACATCAATGCAAAAACTTTAATGCAGAAGTTATTAATTGCTATAAATCTGCCAATCTGTTAAGAGTAATTGAAAGTTATTATTATTATTGTTGATGATGGTGTTGTTATTGCTGTTATAGTAAGAACTAGTTTGGTCCAGTGGTTAAGGCACCAGGCTAAAAACCAGGAGACTGTGACTTCTAGTCCCACTTTACACATTAAAGCTGGCTGGCTGATTTCAGATTTGGTGAATAAGCTGATTAGTCAATTCTTGTCACAACCAATGAATTAATACTCAATTGATCTGAAAAAAAATATTCAATTGCTCAGACATTTGCAGAAAAAATGCTAGGAAGGAAAAAAAGTTGCTATTATTATTATTTCTTAGTGTTGCAGGCAGCCTCTAAAGATTACATACAATTTTAAATCGTTAATATTCAGAGTAGGCACAAAGAAATATCTAAATTAATAAATAATATATATTCTACAAACCTCATTTACAAACTAGAAGGCCACATAAGTAACAAACCAAAATAAAACTCTTGTATACCAAGGATAGCCAGTTCTGCTACAGATCTCTCAAACTGTATATCTGCTGAATAAAACTTCCAATCTTAAGAACTGAGAGTTTAAAATTTCATTAAAAATTAATCAATTTCCTATCATTAGCATTAATTATGTTAATGATAGGAAAATAGCACTTTCCATGCAGGATAGTGTGTCATTGGATCTGTGCAATGGGAATATATGGAAGAAGAAAAAGTCTTTACTTATAGAATGTAAAAGCCATTTTCCTATCAGGTACAACCCAGCTTCAGTAATCTCTTCTCTCAGTGGTTTTTAGAGATGGGCTTTAAATTCATTGCAGCAACCTAATAAAACCTGTTTCTGGATATCTATGGACACCAGCTCATCTATTTAAATCTGTATTTTCCCCCTATTCTATCAAGTTAAATTGATCAATACGAAAATCACATGTTCAGTCTTTTTAGAATTAATGCAAGAAAATTTACTAATTATATCAAAATGAATGTAACTGTGAATGCTGAAAGCAAAAATAAACTACATAAAGTTCCCTGAAATAAAATTTAGGTCACCAGGCACAACCTATATTTAAGAAATACTGAGTTAAGGAAATCATAGAAGAGGTAGCTTCTGTTAACCTCAAATAGTGTGAGCATATTTCATACTGTATGCTACCATACAGTTTTGCCTAGGGCCATGGTGGCGAACCTTTGACACAGGTGCCAGAGGCAGCACTCAGAGCCCTCTCTGTGAGCACTTGCACTGTCGCCCCAGTCCTAGGCCTTCAGCTGGGTTTTATAGAACCTTTTCGCTTTAGGCCTCCGCCGCCATGTACAAAAAAAAAAGGTTCAATCAATCAATCAATCAATCAATTTCAACTTCTCACGGGAAAAAAAGATCTTGCAAAGTTGGACTTGATTGATTGAACTTTTTAGTCCCACCCAGTCACCCAATGAGCCACACCCACCTGGCACCCAAAGATACATAAATGGGTTTTGGGTTGCAGTTTGGGCACTCGGTCTCTAAAAGGTTTGCCATCACTGGCCTAGGGCATGGAGTCTTCTATTAAGCAGGTCTGGCTTACTAGCAGTGTAAGAAACTGCAGGTCTGGATCTTCTACTATCTTCTGCTAAATAAACCATGAACAAAAAAAATCCTGATTCCATTTGGAAGAGAAAGGCAAACAGAATGAGTCAATTCTGACTTTCTTAATATCTCCAGAACGTTATACTTAAAAAAAATTGAAAATCTTACATTAATCCAAACCATTAAGAGAGAAGTAGTCAACCATTTAGTCCTGTTTGCCTGAAATGGAGTTTAATCCTCCACATGCTATTATTACTGGTAAACAACAACTTAAATTGGGTCTGTAAACAGACCTGTAGTATATTACTGAAAGTAGTATAATACTGGTTAAGATCATGGTCATTTTGTAACATTTAAGCATCTTCCCCTGTTTTGGACTGAAGTTTCTGGATTATTTTTCCCCATGTATAATAGGAGCTTATCAATATGAATAACAATATGAATACCAATAGGCTCTCAAAGGAAGGGCATAACTGGTTTATAAAAAGACTCTGATCGAAGATGCTATGAGCCCTTGAGACTATCAAACTTGTTTTCTGGCAGCAGTTGTTTTAGATGTTTAATTATTATTTTTACAAAAAATTCAAAGCAGGGAACATTCTTAATACTCCTTCATCCTCCTATTTTCTCCACAACAGCAACCCTGTGAGATGGGTTGGGAATACTGACTATGAATAATATATTCTAAGCAAAATGATTGGACTTGTCCTCACTCGTACTAGTGGCTCCCAAAGTGATCTATTACTATACATATTAGCTGGAGTTTCCTGTGAAGTTCATTTAGAAATTCCACTTGAATAGCCTGGGACCAGCCTATCTGAAAGGCCCTTTTAACTGAAATTTACGTGCAAAGTCCTGCTTGCATTCTCACCATAAAGCAATATAATCTGCTATTAATAAAGACCATTCTCAACATTAGCTTTAATTTGGTCAACCACAATATGGATATGCATTTGGTCCCAGGAATTTAAGAAAACAATCAAAATAATTTTGGTATCATTTTTTTATTCATATTGTTCAAAGCAACTTCAAAGATAACTTTCCTTGTTAGCATAGCTGTTAGCTGATTTTCCTCCATGATTATTAGAGTTTGAAGATGTAATCCTGAAAAGCAGTTTAAACATATAATTACTTTAAAAATGCATTAAATAAATAGAGAGTCAGTTTGTTGTAGTGGTTAAGGCACTGCACTAGAAATCATGAGTTCTAGTCCTTCTCTAGGCATAAATTAATTGGGTATCCTTGAGCCAGTCCCTCTCTCTCAGCCCTAAGAAGTAGATAAGGGCAAGCCAATCCCATAAAACTTTGCCAAGAAAACTACAGAGACCAATCCAGGCAGTTGCCAAGAGCCAACAATGTCTCAAAGGCATACACACATTAAATAAATAGCTTTAATTGGGAAAACATTTCATAACCTATTATACTGAACAAATTTGCCTTTATGAGGCAGAATTCTGAAAATGGCATTCTTCAGATAAGCTAGGACTACAATACATAAATTGGAAGGCATAAATTGGAGGGAGCGCTGATGGATGAGAAATTAAAATTAAAAGATCATTGGTTGAGAACATTTATGAAATTATTATAGATTAATCTTTTAAAAATGCAAAGGTATATTTTCCCCATTTCTTAGAAGTATGTTTATTTGGGATAATCCAATTGCAGCACGGCATTTCCCATGAAATGTACTTTCACTGAGTGAATTTTCCTGGGAAAGAGATTCTTTTATGAGGGTTTCTAGCATGTAGGGCTGTTGCACGGTCCTGAATAGCAAGAGATTTAATCACTGCCAACATTTTATAAAAAGGAATGTACCAGAGTACTTATTGCATTGTTTATAGTTTGGGGAGGAAAAAGAATGAATTCATTTATTTGGAGAAGACCTGTTGTCTCAGTTAACCATTTCATACTGTGTGCATGATGGCTTGGCCTTGCAAAGAATCAAGGGATGAAGTCTTTAGAAGGTAGTTCTTTACCTAAAGTGTTTCATCAAACATCCTAGAGATTATTCTTTCTAAATAATGTAATAAGAAGATAGAAATACCTTTTAAAAATTCAGAGTGTTTCATCTTCAATGCACATGGAGAAAAATAGTTTCCCTCATTTTTCTTGCGGTAGCATTCTGACAGCATTAAACATGTTTAGAGCTGTTTGTCTTATCTCTATATGGTAACTGTATGCCAATTTTTTCAGCATTTCTTCATATATTTCTGTTAAAACACATTTTATCTTGTTTGTAATTCTCTTCTGACTTCTTTCAATGGCTTGGTTTGAACATCGGTTTGACATTTTCAGCCCACTACATCATCTGATTATTATCCAAATAAATGGGTCCCTAAAATTGCCTTCTAACTGGCTCAGTATTTGCCCAGCCACAACACTTTGGTCAACCGTAAGGCAAACAAAACTGTTTGTAACAAAAAGAGAAACCTTACTCTTAAGCACTAGAAAAAGGCAAGCAGGGTGTCTGTTTGGCTCTGAAAGGACCTCAGTTTGATAGAAAAAATGGAAGCATTACAGAATAAAACAATATTATAACGATCCAAGATGACAGAAGTCATATACTGCAGCTTCCATACAAGCTGCCTTACCAAAGGATACAAACATTTATCTCTCCAACCGCATCACTGATCTTGGTAAAAGGATAATAGATTTGGAAGCTTTTTGGTAAATAAAGGGAAAAATCAGGCAAATACTCTCAACATTTTTCAGAATTTCTGGTCAAGCATATAGGAATCACACTGAATTTCATTAATAATTCTTTTTATAATTATAGTTTCATTCTACAGTGTGCTTAAAACTTTTGATGTCTTTTTAAAATTTCAATATTTCAGCATAAATATGAAATGAAATGTCATTTGGAGCATTGAGAAATAAAGCCAATGAATCCTGGAGCTCCATGGATAAAGACAAAGAGTGGATCTTACCAGCCATAGATAGGATATAACTCAATCTCTGGCCATCCGCCAATGTGGTCAAAGTTCTGACACAATGCCTGGAGTTATGTGGGTCTGGAAGGGACTGAACAGACTCAGACTCAATCGCAACAGCACTTAGACTTATATACTGCTTCACAGTGCTTTACAGTCCTCTCTAAGCAGTTTACAGAGTCAGCATATTGCCCCCAACAATCTGGGTCCTCATTTTACTGACTTTGGAAGGATGGAAGTCAACTTTGAGCTGGTGAGACTTGAACTGCTGGCAGTCGGCTATCAGAAGAATTAGCCTGCAGTACTGCATTCTAACCACTGCGCTACCACAGCTCAATCCTGAGTGATTATATTTGTTTCCACTACAACCATCTCAGATCTGGTGATATATCACTGCTGACTCTCACTGGGGTTGCACATTCCCATTTAAGACGTGTGCACAGTTTGGAGGTCCACTTTG